AGGAATTCTGAAGTTCTGAAAGAGGTTTAAAAAAATTGTCAGTTTATCTTAAGTTCTAAGAATCAAATATCATTAGCTTAACTACTTATTTTAATATTGTCATTAAACTTTAGAAATAAAGATGGCAGTCACTTCATTATTTTAATTGGTTTCAGCCACAGTGAGAAGGAACTGTTTCTCTTAATGGAATATTATCCAGTTTCACTTAAATACTCAGTTTCATTGAACATTTCTTTCTACAAACCTGAATTTGGGCCAAATCTGAGGTGACACAGGCTTATGAATAGCTACTTTGTCAGAACACTTGTAGAGCGAGATGTGCTGCTGGCGACCAGGTCACTGGGGAATCCACATGGTCTTCATCATGAACAGAAACTTCAGAAACAATGTCACTTCTTTTAAATGCAAACCTAGAAGATACTATTCTAATTTCACAGATAGTGCTGAATTACCTTCAAGAGTCAAAGGAATGGATTTATATGTTTGGGAATGTATGTTTTATGTGGAAATGTGTTGAGTAAAGAGACTATTTCTGCCTAACATCTTTAGGACTCTCTCCAGTTCACTTGGTAATGCAACTTTAGCACAACCCATCCTTTAGTCTTGTGTTCTTCCACAAGAGATTTCCTCTCTTGTCTGCTAGGAGCAGTCTCTGTGTTGTAGGTTGTCGACTACATGATTTCTTTGCTGGATTGTGAGAGATTCAATTGTCTTATGTGCCTGTTCCAGCTGGATCTTTAAACCTTCATTGTCTGCCTTTAGAATATTTCTTTCCTAAACAAAAGAAATAGAGAATGGTATTTTATTTATCATTTGCTTCAGAACTGTCTGGTTGTATGTTCAGGTTGACTGGCATAAATGTAAGCTGGTGTAGCTCTTATCTGTGGAACAGAACCTGTAACTCATTTGAGAGTTTCCATAGTCACTGATCTATCCTTTGTGTATACTTTTAAAACTTTCCAGCAGCTGTCTGACAGTCACATCCACAACCTGCATTTATCCACCCTCCACTGCTGCTCTTCTAACAGCAGTAATCTGGGGGAAACAAGAACCCAGCTCACACTTTACTGCTCTGCTAATGCAGAAATAGATGTACAATAATCAAAAACATTAATTTATAACATCAGCTGCTGCTCAGTCATTGAGGTCAGGACCTGGTGAGGGAGCAAGGACAAGTATAGACTGTGGGACTCACATGAATGGGACATTTTAAAGAACCAGTTCTTGCATCCAAACTTCACATCCTTACCTGTACTGAATGTGCTGTTGACTGAAAGAGAAATGATCTGTACTGGAAGATTCTTGCTAATTGTCTTAACCTCTGTCTTAATAAATGAGTCACCTTTCATATAAGGTGAGCTCACTTTATCAACAGCAAAGGACACTTTGAAAGTTATACTGATCATTCAGATATCAGGCTGTGGTTCTGTTGTTGACTATTTCCATGCTGGTACATCTCAGAGTAATGATAGTAATGAGTAAGGTATGAAAATAAGTCTGCCTTAATTCCTCATCATATCTGGATCTGTCCATCAGTCACATTGATGATATTGTGATAGTCTCTTTAGCTATCTGGAAAGGTGTTGTTTTTACAAACCTGAATTTAGGCCAAATCTGAGGTGACACAGTCTTAAGAATAGCCACTGTATTGGAACACTTGTAGAGTAAGGTGAACCACAACTGGGCTGATGCAGGTGAAATCTAGCAAGAGGCCTTGTGTTTACACAGGAAAATTTCTTGGTGACTTTTAAGTTATCAAAAAAAAAAAAAAAAGAAGGAATTCGCTGTCAGTTGAACAAAAGCAGAGCTCCCCACCCTCCCCACACCATATAGTCTGTCTCTTAGAGGAGCAGAGGGCACTAAAAGCAGGAAGAAATTCAGGGCTGTGTTAGGCGTTTTATGGAGTAAAATCCTATCCTAAGCAATTCAATTATGTTCATGTTCCTGCCTGTCACTTTGAAGACTTGACAGGGATCAGTGTAATCATAACAAGGGCTTCAAGATCTATTCCCTAAGACCTGTGCTAGTACTAACATTTATGCCTGAAATACTAAAGTGGCTAAGAATTTATGATGCCCCTTGTGTATTGTTCTGGCAATTAACTACAGTGGAACAAGGGGACACCTCCCCACGCAGCCACCCCCCACACCCTACAACCATTCTGCAGCACTGGTGTGTAAAACGGAATTTGTTTCATCGTGTACATACCTGCTCAAGTTCCTGGTATGAGGGTTTATAGCTGTGATGCTCCTCCTTCATTTTCTGGCTGGAGTCCTTGTTTTCCCATTTAACATATGCCTTTCTGCGGCCTAGAATCGGGCTTGGACGTGGGGATGGTGGAGCTGCCTGGAGATAAGGATTTTCTGGCATCCTGTGTTCTTTCTTCCCTGTCTGCTTACGAGATACATCAGCAGCCAGCAGTCTGAGATCAGTCTGTGTACCTTTATGAACCACAGCTGGTTTCAGTCTCACTGAGATTTTCTGAGCTGAGGAACCCATGAGCATAATGGTTCGGTCCTTGCTGTCTTCACTGTGCTCCACTATTTCCCCATTAGGAAATGTGAACACTCCTTCTTCTTGTCCTGTAGAATATATATGGTAAATTGAGTCATCATCTTATCCCAGGAAAGGAGAAACAGGAGGCACAGCAATTAAACATTATTTTAATAAATAAACCAAGGTTTATTCTTTATTGATACTGCATTCATTGCTCTCCAAAATAGGTGTCACTGGAAGTTTCTTAATGTTGTGTCTCTTGGAACAACTCCTTGCCCTGTCTCAGTAACATACATATGAATCAGTAAGAGCAAAACAGGTGTAGCATCAAGGTCAGCTGAAGAAAAACCTCTAGATGACTAAGAGGTTTTACATAGACCATTAATCTTGGTGACTGGGCTGGGCTGGAAGCTTAAACCTGGGTGTTAGGTTCAGTGTTATCACAACCTGCAGCTCATTCACTTTAAAAAGTTGACATAAGAGTAAAAACTTGGGGATAGGGGGAGTCACAATGCTAGAAATAGTGGGCAAAATATGTGATTAAAGGATTTTAAAAAGACCTCTTTCAGATAAAATAATTTCTGTTGTTGGGAAGAAAATTAAATGAGGCTGCATGTTCAAACATGAAGGGAAAGAATAAAGTTGGTCCAGTAGCTGCTACAGACTTTGGAGAATTAAATGAGGATATGGATGAACAGATCAGGTTTACACCTTCAACTTAGATCTGAACCCCCATTCTTCAACATGATGTAGAGTTGAGAGGTACCATATTCTGGCACACTGGGTGACGATGGGTCAACATGCTACAGTTCAGTCCCTCTATACGTGTGACATCCCACAAGGTGGTTATTACTCAGTGCTGTAGCCACTGCAGGTGCAAGCACACAAGATGCACGTGGCCATTACCAAGAGTTGTCTGCATTAAGCTCCATATAAGTGCTAATAGGAATCCTAAGATGGAATCCAGCAGTATGGATCTGAAATGCAATGCTAAAAGATTGATATTGAAGCGTGAACGGCTGAGGTTAACTCCCCATCCCTGAGTGAGGGTTGGCATATGGGTGATATCCACCATCAGGCAAGAAGGACCCTCCTGACTGATTTTCACCCACGGTCTGGCCGGCCTTGGGTAGGAACTGATTAGGAGATCACCACCAGGTGCCCCCACCTTCCACATTAACTTGGAGGGGGGGCAAGAAGCTCCCTCTATAAGAGCTGACTGTTGGCAGGGGGATTGGTTGTGCTGCCTGTATAGTGTATGTGCTGTGTGAGGGTTCTGGTTCTCGAAAGGGGTTCCCTGACTCTTCATGACAAGTGGAGTTCCCAGGATGGCAGGGCCAGAGCATGAAGCTGTCTCTGAGTCCCTGCTCTATAACTGGGCTCATGGCCTGGCTGCTGCCCTCTCGATGGCTTGGCTCCTTGGCTGGCTCACTCCCTTCTTTGTGTTCACTGCAATGGGTGAGTGCATTGACTTGTTCCTCCCTCTGGTTGTCTGGCCCTTTGGGTCTCTGGTGTGTGGTGTGGTAGTGGAGGGAGGAGTTTGGCTGTTGGGCTGTCTGTTAATGATAATACCATTCTATATTGGGCAAGTGGTCAGCAGAAGGAAGTGCAAGAACTGGACTTAAAGATCATTAGATACAGGCAAAGAGCAGGAGAGAAATTCAAAGAAAGAGACTATGGAGAGAGAGTTGAAACACCCAAATCAAAATTTAAAACAAAACAGAAGTAGCCTGAGCCTTATTCAAGGGCAGCACTTCCTCCTTTGGAGGCCTACATGGTAATATCACAATATAAGAAGTTTATATAGCTTGCTTGATACAAGAAGGAAAGATGGGAGAGAGCTGTAGATCTTTAGTTTCTAATTAAATGAAATACAGGCAGTTCTAGTTTATATGTTGACAAGACACTGCTGTTAACTAACAAAACCTAAAATGATGCTGCATAACTCAGCTTTAGAATAAAAAGGAGCAAAGGAAAGATTATATTTTGATATTTTTAATGTGATCTTTTCTCACCGTGGAGTTGCTCTTTGACTCCTACTGGGCAGAGGCTTGAAGCAAGAGCAGATGTTGGGCTGCTGTCTGCAGCTGAAGTTTTGGGCCGTCTCTTGCACTCGATCACAACCAGGTCTTTGCATTGCTTGTGACAGTTCATTCCACAGTCTGTAAACAGAACAGAACGTTCACGTGACTCAGTAGCTCTGCACCAGCACCTCGGATCAGCTCTCACACAGCGCTGTCTCCCCAGGAAACAAGAAAGCTTCTCTGGTGTTCTCTACGTGCATTACCTGTAATCAACACACATCTGGCACAGAAACCAATAACATTGCTGTGTTACCTACATCTAGAACTCCTTTTGATTGTGGACACACAAACTAGCAACAGTCGGTCACAACCGTGTTCCCACTGCAGCAGTTGCAGGGAAAGCAGATGCCTGGACGAGGAAGAAAACGCTCCAAAATACATGTTGTGAACGTGCTGCACGGTTACCACAGTGTTGGTGCTTGCACCCGTTGGAATAGGAAGGTCTCTTCCCAAACTCTCTGAATTCAGTGATGTTTTGCAAAAGGCTAGAGCTATCAGTTATGGGTTCTTTCATCTTTGCATTTCTTCTGGACCATCTATCTGTCGTACTATTCTTGACTCAGTCCTATTCTACCTGAGAGGTCTGATTAAATAGGTCCATAGACATAGCAAAGTATCTCAGGATGATGAGATTTTTCTGTCATTAACCATCAGTTATAGATTATAATTAACAAAGTGTGAAGTACCTTACCTTTGCATCTGTATCCTTGTTTAATGACTCCCCATAGCTGAAATTCAAACAAACAGGAAGACTATGTATTAACATATTGCTCTGTACTTTGTTACCTCCAGATGTAAAAATCCCCTAAAAGCTCCAATCATCTCTAACACCTGAGCACCTGCAGAATATCTTGGGTGTCTTACCCTTTTAATGGTAAATCCAGATAGGAACTGTTTACCTCTTTAGCAAACAATATTTTTAGTTCCTCTATCACAAAATATCCTGAGCTAGTCTCTAATGAATACATCAGCAGATGTGACAGCCCCCAGAGAAGTTGTGGAGCTGGAGTAGATGGAGAATTCTGTCTCAGCACCCTTGTTTGATCCCAGCTAAACTGGAGGTTGGTAGGACAGTTAGTTTTATAAAATCTTTCTCTGCCCTAGGCATGGGGCACGTCATGTCTGTATGAGGACATGAAGTGGAAGGCTCTGGATTTGGAAGTCTTGTCCGAGACTCTTTGGTGACACAACCAAACACCAGAAGGTAGGAGGAGCCATGTTTGAACAGGTAATACAGCAAAGACGGGTGTAAAGGGTACCTTAAATAGCTACACAGACAGAAGCCTGGCATTCTGTGTGGCTTCACTGTTTTATATAGATCCGTGTCTGTATATGACATATGGTGATCTTGAGATTAAAAAAGGCACTATTCCAAACAATCTTAACATAATTTACTAAAAAGTAAGCTTACAAATCCAGCACAGTTGTCGCAGAAAGTAGGCCTTAAGTAAGTGGTCTCTTGGAAGTTGTGAGCAAAGCCAAGTCCTAGTTTGGAATAGATTGAGCTAGCCCTCATAAAGTAAGCAGTTATTTCATCCCTGCTGATCAGACCTTCCCTGAAAATAAACAAAAAAACATGTTTGGGACACACATTTTCATAAATGCATAAGAAGAATTACCTTGCTTCACTATTTATAATGGCAGTAGCTGTTTCATGGGGAAAAAAACACTAGAGTGACCTCAGTAATCCTTGTTAATGGCTTCCAAAGTCTACAGAACCTTATCTACACATTTAAAAAGCAGCCTGTAAGGATAAACAAAATAGCTGCATACGTGATGCAACCTCAAAACTACTTCATAGAAAACCTCTGAATAAACACGATTGTATTCTTCCATGCTTTAATATCTTAAGAAGAATGTTCTTAATTTGACTAAACTATACATTTGCCAATTTTCTCTTTTTGAGGGATGGGTTCATCTTAGGAAGGTTCTTCAGCAGTATGTACTGAAAATTAGAAAAATAATGTTTAATGATAATGTTCTTCCTCCTACATCAGCCTGGTTACCACTGCTGCAAGCTCATGAAGATGTCATTCACAAAACATTTCAACAATGCTTTTGTCAGTTATGTTTTCGCTTCTGTTTGTGAATGAAGAGGATGACTTTACCATGCTAATAATAGAAATAAAATTTAAACGCAAAACCCCCTCCCAGAACAGATGTTATAAAGTTGATAAGCAGCACTAGGTACTCACCAGTCCTTAGCCATTACACAAAATGAGAATGGAAAACTGGCAGCTATCTTTTCAAATTCTTCCTGGGAAATGTATCCATCCTGATCGTGGTCATAATTTTTGAAGACAGACTGTGTGTGATAATAGTAGAATAGTTTATTGCAAGGATTGTAATTACTTTAGAAAGCCTCCACCATACTTGTGGATTTCCTCTCCTACCTTCTCCCAGTATCTATTAAACAGTACAACAGTCTAACTGCTGCTTTTGCTTGAGACTAAAGCAGCATTATGATTTCTTGATTTGTAGCAAAATGGAGATTAAGTCAACATAGGCTGGACTAAATGCTTTGCTGCAGAATTACAGCTCTTTTAGGGTTTCACTTTAAGATCATTATGTCCAGGCCTACCTATACAACTTGTACTAATGCTCTCAATTAGTGCTCTTAGTGATGATATTTGTAGCCAAATCGGTGCAGCTGCTTAGCTTATTTCATCAGGTCAATGCTACCTGAAAAGTAGTTATGACAGACTTGTCACACAGACACCTACTGCCACTTGTGGAACAACATTACTGTTTGTCTCTGCCCCTAAGGCAAGGAGCACACTTAAGCCAAATTCTGAAGTATTCCAAAACAGCATGTATCGAAAGATATCTAGCAGTATTAGAAGTGTTTAAAAGGAAAACAGATGAAGCAGGGTGCAAAGACAAACTCTGCCTCCCTCCCCCCATCAGTTTTGGAATCAATCACTTCAGCTTACTTGATGGTTTCTAGTAAAGTGGGTGACCCAAAAGAGAGAAAAAGAAATAGCTGCTAGTAAAGATGCTATTAAGGGGCCCACTTTCAGACTCCGTCAATAACATGGTGTTGAGGTCCCTGGTAGAAATGGACTCTGGCTCCCTGGAAGGGTGACTGTGGAAGTACTCCAACCAGCATTCACATTCCCTGCTGGCTCCTCAGCCATTTAAAAAATTTATTTGTATGCCTCATGGGCTGCTGCTGCTATTTACAGCTAGGCAGATGCATCTGTTAGGGAGGACAGAATTGCTTACAAACTCAGCACAGATATGACATGTGGCCAGTATTTTTTTCCTTCTTTGTATCTTCTCAGACCTAGAAATTAAGGCTACAACTGATACATAATGTCAATAGTCCAACTGTACTTACATCTACCATCCTCTGAACATGCTTGCTGATGGTTTTTGGATCAGGTTTTGGGGCTACTCCTGAGGCCCAGTCTGCAACTACTGGTGGTCTGGAAGGTGTTGAAGGCTAGAATAAATTAAATGGAACTTCATCAGTACCACATGGAAAGACTTTCAGTATTAAATCATCTTTCATTTGTGACAGCAGACTGTGATACAGGACTGCAGAAATAGCCTGCTAGACCCAACATCATGCTTTTAATAACTACATAGTACTTAAGAGGAAGCTCTTCCCTGAACTGTCCAAAACAGTTGTCATTCCTTAGATTGTTACAGTTCATTGACACCCCTAAATGCACTGTCTTTTCCATATTTATAAAACAAGAACAAAACTATGGTATCACACTCATGGAGTTCATAATTTGAGTTATATAAGAATTCTTCATTTAAAAGCATCAGTATCAGTTGCCAAAATTGAGCCTGATATCATGTCTCCACACAAGTAACTTCTTTTATGTTTGTGTTCATATTATAAAATCTCACATGGTGTTAGCTCTCCCATATAACTTAGGCTTCATCATCAACCAAACAATTTATGCCTTAACAGATTTTGATCAGTCTAGAAAGCTAAAATTATTTCAATTTAGCATAAAAGATAATTAAATGAATGCAAGGGATAAAATTATGTCACTCATAAGGCAAAAAAATAATTTTCTTAAGACTCTGTAAAGTTTCTTACGGCAGCTCGGTGACTTCTTGGCTCTCGTGCATATGAAAGCTCATAAATTTCATCTTCTGTGTAGTAAAGATCAAGGGACAGCTGAAAACAAACACAATGTTAGTTTAATCCCAGAACACTCAACTACTACTTGATAAACTTGTTCTTGGCATGCTTTAGTATTTTTTGGTGGATTTTTAGTTTAGGTTGCATGTATTAAAAATACACTTGAGCTGCACAGGTGTTCACAGGGATTTGAAACAGGTACATCTCTAAATTCCAGACTCTTATCACCATTAGCTGGGAACGTGTAGCATTACACAGCTACAGTCATTAGCACAGCAACCGACTGTAGGCATCATTAGCAGTCAGTTAATACTTAACCTGGAAAAAACTGCTACTCCCATAACATTCAAGTGGTCTGTCATGCAACTAAGCACAGAAGCACCATTCCACTGCAACTGTACATCCACTCAAATTCTCAGAAAACTCTTGGACAAGCATGACATGCTTATCTACTCTAGCTGTGACCATGCTGAACTAAGAAATATATGATGAGGATAAAAGACAGACTTGCATATATTTAGTGAGAACCTTTAGCTGTCAACAGCAGTTACGTGAAGTGAGAAACATTACACCTGGGTAAATAAAGGAATTTGGGGAAAAAAAAACCTTCAAATTAATACCTTTGCTTTTCCTTACATCTTGGAAAACAGTATAGCAAATATTTTTCTTGACTGGAAACAAATTTCAAGCTAAGAGTGAAGACTGGTAAATTTCCAACAAGTATCATGTTACATGCAAATATTCACACTAGACATGATGGAGTAGAAAAGCTAGATGTAAACGTATTACAAGCCTCAACCTATGGCAGGTCCCAAGGAAATTTAAACTTGTCAGAGGGTGAAGATCATGGCAGTCAGATGTATCAAAACTAAAAAAACCAAAATATTCTATTTTATCTAATAAACAACCTTATTCAAATTGCAGATATGCAATAACTCTTACTGCAGGAGTTACTGTTGTAGTAATAACTGAATAATTTTAGATTCTTGGGGAAGTACTAAAGTAGTTTTTGACACTCAAAACAAAAGTCCAAATGTTACAATACTTCTATGATTTACTGACTTACGTATGCAATTACTAATACCTCTTCAAACTGATTTGCACCTGCTAATGAGAAAGCATATCACTAAAGGAAACAGAAGAAGGAAAAAGACTGTTGAATAAATTGGGGAACTAAAAGGAAAATTGTGCCCTGGAATATCAGCAGATTAAAAGCTCCTGCTTTGAAGCTGGAAATGAAGTATTTCAATATTGACATTATATTGTTAATATTACATAATTAATATTTATTATATTTACCTATTCCAATTAATATTAAATTAAAATTTACATTTATATAATAAGATATTTAAAATTAAATATTTATGTCCTGTCATATACAGCTACATGAAATTGTGGCTGAAGTTCTACATATTTGTAATAGAAAGATTTTATAAAACTTTTTTTTTTAAAAAAGGTACTTAATTTGAGATAAAACATTTAAAACATGTAGCAGGAAGGAATTCACTTTAGGGCTCTATTTTAGGCCCTGGGCAATGTGTTTTTAGTTTAGAGAGAATAACCTCAAGCACCTGAGCATTTTATCTGCTAGTTCTTTGCTGAAACTGGGCTTGTAACCAGAAAATGGAAGCCCCCTATCTAGTTTTCCAAGCTGAGGTATTTGTTAAGGACAAACAAAACTGAGAAACAAGAAAGGTAGAGTTACTATTTTAACAAAAGGTGGTATTTTAACTTACTAGGAGAAGCTAAAAACTATTATTGTGACATACATCCTGGGTAGTATCAATTTTTAGTAATATGGCTAGTAATATAACTAGATATGACTGGAAGAATAATACAACAACTATATTTGTCAGACATTCTTTTTAGTGCCAGAAGAAACTCAGCTAGACAAGTAGTGTATTTTAACCCTATACATCTTGAGGGACTGAACTATGTGAAAGTTTTTGTGTTCAAATCAACAAAGATTTGTATGCAATCTTCTGCCTCCAAGATGCATCTAAGGAAGGTTTCTACCTTTCTCCATATTTAGGCTTAATCAGCAGAGGATTTAGAGCACTTCCTAAGGGAAAGTACAGACAGAATACTATATACTACTATAGCACAGCAGAAAAACATTTTCCTTCCCTTACAAAAATAATTGGAAGCATACTGCTGAACTGGAAGCTTTGCCTTTGCTGCCAGATAAACCAGTATCACTAACTTTTTCTCTTCTTCTATTGGTCATTTCCTTACGGAAAATAAAAAGATATGAGATGTATATGAAATGATTTTTTAAATTGAGGTATTCATCTTATCTAACAGACTTACAGTAAGCAAATGAACAAGGTCCATATTGGCCTCCAGAGGAAGTGGCATTTCCTGGAGTTGTATCAGCTCATTTATGTGGTTATACAGAGAATATAGTTTGTATATATTAATTTTTTTGTCCTCTAAGTAGTCTGGCATGCCCTCATGAAGTGATATCAAGTCTTTCAGGTGGACCCCAAGGATTGGGATCTTAAAGTTACTGCATTCATTATAGGCACGTCGGTAACTATCATAATTTCTGTAAGATGAAAGCAGTTCTGTCATTTCATTAAACACCTAAAAATAAAAAGAAAACAAAAAAAATTAAAATTCAGTACTGTTTTTGTTCTGGTCATACAGCACAAGAATTTCCCGTATTATTGTTAAGGGTTTTACTCTTGAAACAGATTTTAAAACTTCAGGCTTCAAATGACATCTAGGTATTCACCTTATGTAAATTAACTATCTATAATATGTAATTATATTATATACATATATATACACGTATATATGTAATCTATAGCCTAATCCATCATGCTGGTCTTTATCTATTGCTTTTCTTTCTAGTTGAATTTCTAATTTAGCTGATGAAAAGCAATAGGATCCTCTCAAATCAAGGAGATGTGTATGCAGTTACACATGTGCTTTTTTCCCCTGGAAATGAAGAAAATATATTTGACTTGCTGTAAAGGCCATATGAAACTTAAGTCTAGCAGTATAAATATTTTCCTTGTTTAAACTATAAAGGTACAAAGCTGACTTGTAATGTCATAAAATCAGTGGACCGATGTTTTCTTGTGGAAGTTCCTGTCTAACCCCTTAATATTTAATCTTCACAAACTCTTCTTTATAGCTAGTGTGTTCTCAAATCACTAATTACCAGCCTTTATTTATCTGCTTTCTACTAGCACTTGTATACAGTCTTTTGATGTAAAAAGTTAATCAAATGATGGGCACACATGCAAATCATTCCTCATGACACAATTTGTAGAAAAACATGCTCTTAAATAATCTTGCTAACTGGTTTTATAGATCCTGAGAGCTGCAACCATTATCAGCTGGAGGTTGTATTTCTGGTCTATTCTCCAGCTATGCACCGTTCATTCAAACTGAACATACTGTGTTTAAAATGGGTTCACTAGTTACCTATATGAAATCTTTCAGGCCCCAAACAAGTTTAAAATAATAAAGCATGTGAATCTCTCAAGAAGAGGTCTCCTATGAAGTCATTTCATTGCTTAAAAAATATGCTTTCCTTCAGAGTTTTAGTAGTCAGAATCTCAGCAAAAAAACATATCCATCTGCATTTCCCAAGAATTTAATTGGAAATTACAACTGATGCCTAACATTCCACTGTATTACAATGTGTGTGTATTAGGGCTAAGTTTGTTCAAGTCTGAACTAGATAAAATCTGTCATAAGGAAAGATCAGATGAGTAAAACCAGTCCTTTCAGTTTTAAATGCTAAGTGCAGAGCTCTGTGCTAGCATGTCATAGACTTGGGATAATCAGTGTTGCTATGGATGACAAAAATTTTGTTCTCCAGTGTTCGAGGATCCAATTCCGTTTTCATGTTTGAATGGTATTCTGTACTACTGCATATAAATGAAAATGCAGCTTGTCACATCTGAGTATTAAAAGAGAAACTTTAGAGAAGGTATACAAATCTTGAAGAAAGGTGGAGTTAGAAGTGTAGGAGTAACTGGTGTTGTAAAGATGAAATGAGAAAGAAAAAACTCTCCAAAACCAAAGGAATTCTTCCATTTGGTGGTTTTTTTTCCTCTTTATATCTTATCCAATGAAATAAGGTATTTTGTGCAATAAAAAAAAAAAATTAAAGGTTACCTTGTTTGTAGAACTTAAAGTAGCAATACCAACCTTAATTACATCATGAGGAACACATGAACTTGTTTCCTTGAGTCTGGAAATGGAACTGTGGCAGAGACCTCCTATTACTGCCATTAATGTATTGAAATTCTGTAGCTGGTGGAGCTTCTGTGTTGACATACAAAAAAATCAGTATTTATTATTTAAAGGTTCAAGTGGTTCAATATGCACATCCAAATTCTACATTTCCTCTGTCTCCCTTAAGTCTTACAAGTTTGTGACACTATTCATTTGAATTCATTCCTTTTGGTAATGAATTGTGATTTTACTGGGTGTAAGATGTATTTATTCTACTATTATTAAATTATATATTAATTCTGCAGATACAGTAAGTCTTCAAAGTACTTCCTCAGTACTTATCCCTTTTCTCACAGTTTACCACAACTACAAAACACTGCCTATTATCTTGGTTATGACTAGAGTTGAATTAGTATGCAAAGAATACCAACAGGACCATAGCTCTTCTATCCAGCAAGGCATATCTGGTAGAAATGCTTCTAAATAAAGACAAAGGAATAACAGTGGCTCATGCAGTAACAGCTTGGAATCTCAACAGCTGATTCAAAACCTTGTCTAGTTTTTCAGTGAAAACAATTTCTTTAGAATTGATATGAGAAAGATATGATGCCAAGACCCTGTAATATCTGAATCCTTAGTATAAAACCACAGCATACACGTATGAACCAGGAGACCAGTGCCAACACTCCCAGTTGACCTTACAGTTGTAGCATGGCAAAAGCAACTAAAGGTCTGTATCAGAGAAAGACAAAACCAGCATCACACATCAAACTGTAACTGACCTGTGCAACATGAATGAACTTGATGAACACTTCAGCCCGAAGCTGTGGTGTTGGTCTGCTGAGAACCATTAGCTGCACCCATTGAGAGATACCATTGCAAAGAGCAATTGATCTTTCCATTGTTGGATTCTCCTTCACACAACTATTCACAATGTAGTTCTGATAATCTGAGAACTTAAACAAATCCAAGTGTAAATGAAAACTCATCTACAGTTTTATATACCTCATGATCTGTGTGCAGATACAGGTCTGCTTTTCAAATGAAATACACAAGATATATTTTACACCTCAAATATCCACCAGACTGAAATCTTTCCTTTGTCAAAGTTCAAAGCAGAATGCTTCAACTAACTGAATTACATGAAAGCAACTTTTTGTCATAATTTGCATCACATAATGATGCAAATGCATCATGTGTATCTCAGAAACCTTGGCTCTCATAAGCCCTAGGATGAGTAGAACCAGAGCTTTCCTCTCAGCCTCACTTGCTCCACAAATTCATTGAATCTAGGCTTCTACAAGGAAGGTTAAACTGAATTCAAAGTGTAATCTTAGTAACTCAGTGATAGTTTAAGGAATTTAAATGTTCAGTTTATGTAGCTAAGGCACACTTCAGAATTAAGCTATGCTAATTAAAAAAGCAAGTTCAAGGAGATTAATATAAAACTGAGATAAGACCATTAAGTATGAAGGCCACAAATTCCGTAATGTTTTTAATACAGCTTGTGAGATTCTCTTATCTAACCAAAGTAATCTAAAATTTTTCAGTAGACACCTGTATGTAAGAAATAAGATTTTTTTAAAGCCATTCTTTCCATTAAGATGAAAGAGAAGCAATCATTTCTTTTTTGTTGATGCAATTCTTATCCATTCTTTCAATTTATCCATTAACAAAAATTTCAGTCATTGGAAAATATGACACAGGATTTATGCATCCATTCTTTACTGCTACCACTAATACTAACATTTTACAAAAAACATTTATTGTTGTAATAGGTACATATTCCTTTCTTAAAGCCAGAAGAAGATGTTGAATGGTATTGACTCTTAAGAAAAAGTCATAAATTGTCAGGCTGCTGTTTGTTTCTTGCTCTCCTTCTCTCACTTCCTTGCCACTTTTTAACTTTTTTCCATCCATTTAATAAGAACTATTAACACTTTAGGAAGCATATATGATGGCACATATCTCTGGATTTGTCCTCTTATTAAAGTAAAAATGGAAGAAACATTGAGTAATACGTAGAGCTGTCTCTGAGATTACATAGTACTTACAGTTACGGTTTGAATTTTGAACCCCAGCCAGATTTGGCTGGATCTTGAAATTTAAGCAACTGCTCTATACAGATAGGTAATTTTTCAGTATCTGACTCCATAATTATGGACTTCATAGCAGTTTCAGTACAATTATGAATCAGTTTGCTTCGTTTATATTTTGTTCTCAGCAGCTCTTTCCTTCAGAAAAAGAATTTTTTTTTTAAATGCTGATCAAATTTATATCTAACATGCCAGTTTTAAAATAATTTTGGTGCAAGGATTCACAAAATCCTTCACAATCCCCTTTGGTGGGGGTAAGTGACAAGCTGTGGGTCACTCACCCCCACCTCTTATGACTTCTTCTATTAAGAAGAAAAGGAGAGTAATTGTAGTGGATGCTCTTCTGAGGGGAACAGAAGGGCCCATTTGTTGACCAGACCCATCCCACAGGGAGCTCTGCTGCCTCCCTGGGGCTCGGGTTAGAGATATTAAAAGGAAAGTCACTGCTCTGGTGCAGCCCTCTGATTATTACTCATTGTCAGCGATTCAGGCAGGGAATGAGGAGGTTGTACAGAGAAGTCTAAAGGCACTCAGACAGGACTTCAAGGTGCTAGGGCAACTAGTCAGAGGCTTGGCTGCTCAGCTGGTGTTTTCATCAATCCCTCAAGTGGAAAGGAAAAACACTCAAAGTGGGTGGAAAACACATCTGATTAACATGTGGCTCAGAGACTGGTGCCACTGCTGGAACTTTGGGTGCCTTAATCATGGGGAAGTTTATGTGCACGTGGTCTGCTGGCATAAGATGGAGCTCCCCTGTCTCCAAGGGGAAAAAGGATCCTCACACAGGCATTGGCTGGGCTCACTGACAGGGCTTTAAACCAGCTATGAAGGGGGAAGGGGATGAATCCAGGTTCACAAGACATGTGCCTCAGGACAGCCTTCAGTCTATTGTCCTGCTCAAGGTGGACAACAATAACACAGGGCTCACTAACAAGCTAGTAACCACAGTAGTGGCCAGGAATGGTCAGATAGCAAGAGTGGAAACTGGTGGGTTAACTCCCTCTCTGAAATGCTTATATACCCATGCACGGAGTATGGGGAATAGGCAGGAGGAGCTGGAGATCTGTGTTAGGCTGAATGACTATTATCATGCATATTGATAATCATGCATATAATATTGATCTATGATCAATATTCCTCACATGGAATATTGTGTCCAGTTCTGGGCTCTTCATTTCAAAAGGGACAGAGATCTACTCCAGAGAGTCCAGAGAAGGGCTACGAGGATGACTGGGGACTGGAACGCCTGCCTTATGAGGAGAGGCTGAGAGACCTGGGGCTTTTTAGTCTGGAGAAAAGAAGACTAAGGGGGCATCTAATTAATGTGTATAAATGAGGGCTGGGTGTGAAGAAGAAAGGAGCACCCTGCTTTCACTTGTGCCCCACGATAGAACAAGGGGCAATGGATAGAAGCTGGAGCCCAGGAAGTTCCACCTCAACATGAGGAAGAACTTCTTTACTGCAAGGGTTACAGAGCACTGGAACAGGCTCCCCAGGGAGGTTGTGGAGTCTCCTTCCTTGGAGACTTTTAAGACCTGTCTGGATGTGTTCCTGTGTGACCTGCCCTAGATTAGATGGTCCTGCTCTGGCAGGGGGGGTGGACTTGGATGGTCTCCAGAGGTCCCTTCCAACCCCTGACATTCTGTGATTCATTAACAAGGTCAGTTGTAACAAAATTGTTAGTGGCAGATATGGTAAAGAAGGACAGGTACTTAAATAATACAAGAGTCTGGTACTGCAGTGACTAATTTGGGAGCCTTAACAGGAAAGTAGAATCCAAATTCTTACAGAAGTGTAGCTTTCCTTTATTTTCTAAGTAGAAATTAAAATGGTTTCCAAACACCACCGTACCTGCAGTCATTACTCTGTGAGCACCACTCCCTGCATTTTTCTTTGCTGCAAGATACATGTTGACTCATGGAAGCTTTTGCAGTGTGCTGTGTATGTTCAGGGGCCCAAGTTTTCCCTTCTGACTTTCAAATGACCAAACCTTGGAATAGTTATTCCAGTGACTGGTAACACAGCAGGTCATTTGCAGCCTTTCTCCCAGTATATGCTGGCATGTGAGAATAACAGAAGGATTCTGTGGTTTAGCCTATCATGAACACATTCTGCAAAGAGTTAATGAATAGCTATTTACTAATTATGCATTATTTTCTGAGATATTGATAAACTCCATACCAAAACTTATACATGCCTTATATGCAGGGCCTCTGAATATAAAATGTACTTAAGTATGTAACTGCTGCAACTCTGACACATCTGACACTGACTGTAATTGTACTTGTAATATTCATTACTTTAGGTCTGCAAAGAGCTTGAAAACATTAAGAGTTATATAAGCTTTGCATATTATTACTGCCTACAGGCAGAAATCTGTGCATGACTTTGGTTCTATGGCTTTTTGAATTTAATGTGAACAATTAAGAGTCATGTACTGTCAGGTCAAAATAAAGTACACTAACACATGACTCTGAAACCTTCCAGTATACATTGAGAGTCCCTTTCCTGGCAAGACTTCATTTTTAAATTGTAGTGTTTAATAAAAAAACCAAAACAAACAAACAAACAAACAAAAAAAAAACCCAAACCATTAAATATTCCAAACAAATAAAGGCCCCTAAAAAAAAAATAATTTCACTGTTATCTTCACACTAACTCTGTAATCATCTTAGATCTGGGTCTCCAGTGTTCCCTTTTCTTTTCCATGTGTGAACCATATCAGGTTTGAATAGAATTAATGCTGTGGCATAGAAGGATGCATGTGAAGCCAAGGTGCACAGGGAAGTTAGCATCTTACTAGTTACACACATAGCTGAGAAAAAAAAATTAACTATTTATCTCATTTATGTTCTCTTTAAGAATTCTTTGTGTACTTTAAAGCTTGTCTAATAAAGTATTTTAAGCCTCTGTTACATTAAAAATGGCATTTTCTCAAGTGCTTTCTTATTCCTAGTCTTTTTTTTTTAAGCACAATCAAAAATGCCAAGCAGAGTCCTGTGGACATCTTTTATACAGACAGTTCATTAGTCACTGCAGAAGAATGCTTCACTGTTTCCTAAAGCCACAGAAGGTTAGCATTCTAGGAGAATATTCCAAGTTTTCTTCATCCCATTTCAGCCTGATTAACTGATTTGCATCAAAGGAGGCTGCTTGTTCCTGTGCCCAATGACACCACTTCTTCTAACAAAAAGATTATTTGGAAGAAGGTCAAATGGTTTACTCCTCTCCTTTCCAACTGACCTTGCCCTGACTGTTCCACAGTTGCTTAAAAGGTTCACTCTCCCTCTCACCAATGACTGCAGCAAATGGGTATGTAGTCAGAATAAGTTCTACTAGATAGCTTCAACTAGTACAACAAAAGGAGCCTAGGAGCAGATTCAGCTTGTCCAACTGCTTGCACTGCAGGGTTAATCCTGTAATGTTGCCCATCTCCCATCTTTTCTACATCCCTCCCACCTTTGTTTTTTTTTTTTTAAAAAGCATCACTTACTGATATTCTTCTGAAAGACTTAAATTCAAGATAGGTAAGGTGGTCTGACAGCTCCTCTGGCTCCAGGTGATCAAAAAGAAGCGAGACTTTCCGTTTCTTACTGGTGTTGGCCTTTACACGCTGTGTCAGCTTTCTAGACCAATCCCTAGAATTTCTTTTAGACAAATTTTAAAACAGAGTTACCCTCATTCATAACCAGATACAAAATGTATGCCAAATTCTGCTCTGCTTTTGGCAGTGTGTTGCCAACCAATGTATAACTTGACTCTGTAATACAGTTCCACAGAACTATCTTACTCTCATGGGACAAGGAAGATTCTCTTCCCAAGAAAAAACTATGTGCTATGTAGCTGTAGGATTTATTTGTGACAGGACAAGTAATTTTATAACTAAAGTCACAAAATAGTACCAAGAGTTTGACAACATAATAAACTATATCATCTCACCTTTGGTATTAAAAATATGAACAGACATTTTTTACCTCATCTGTTACTCAATCAAGATGTATTCTCTTTTCTCATTGACTTCAAGTGATTTTTCAAAATCATCAAGTCTCTACAAATTTTGTAAGTTCCCTAGATAGAGTAAAATTTATATAGTACAGAGAATCAGCATAAAGTCTATACAGTAGTTAAATTCAACCTAAGCCATTTTTGAAAAACTTCCTCTACGTAATACATCAAAAATATTAATCAAAAATGATGTATGAAGGGTTCCAAGGACAGATAACATACGACTTGTTAAAATTAACCCACTATTGAACCATTATGTTGTGTACTGGAGAGATGCTATACTTAAATAAAGGAGATTCAGAGCAAAAGTTTGTTTTCTGAGCACATTGAGACTTTGGCACTCACATTTGAGTTGTGTCAATTAGACGGCAGTGTAACTCCTCACCATTAGCTTTAACCAGTTCTTGAAATTCCTCCATAGTTGCAGAAAGCTTAGAGTCCATTTTGAACATAACCCAGAACTCTGTAATCCAATACCTATTGTACATTGAAAATACAGAAACACAAAAATAAAGGTTTTTGCTCTAACATCAGTACGGCTGATACTTAGATAATTGCCTTTGGTTATGAGTTGTATTTCTTTTTGATCAACTTCAGGGGATACATCTTGCTTCTAGATGCTTTTTGGTAGGCTACCATGATTTTTTTCAGAACTCAAAATTTCAAGATTAAAAATGAATTAGAAACTACATAGCTTAATGCTCTATAGAACTATACTACAGATATGCTTGCAATAAATTTATTATTAGGATTTATAGTTTCACATGAAATCTACATAATATGCATACTGCTTTTTTCTTTAAGAAATTCTAGGTAATTTTATATATTCCTTTAAAACTTGAAAATATTTGGTCTGGACATGAAAAAAACCCACCATACTAGTCAGAATTTTATCTATTAACTGAAGAAAAACTTACTAATTAAATATATTTAGTAGTTTATAGGTGATTGTCTTACATGTGCACAATATTATCATAGAACTACACTTCCCTATGTTAGGCATTCAAATTGATTGTGTCATATATTTTCTACTCCAATTCCTATATGTGATTTGTCACCCATTGTGGTGGGTTGACCCTGACCAGCAACTAAATACCCACCAAAGTGCTTGCTCATTCTTCCCCTTGCAGCAGAATGAGGGAAAGAATAAGAGGGGCAAAAGTGAGGAGAAAAACGTGGGTCAAGATAAAGACAGTTTAATAACTAAACGAAAGAATACAGCCAACCAAACGACCAAATAGGTGATGCCCAGCCAGTATCTGAGCAACAGCTACACTGGATTGACTCCCCCCCAAGCTTTTATTGCTGAGAGCATGATGCTGTATGGTATGTATGATAAATATGACTTTACTATACTTAATTTAAAAAAAATTAAATTGTGATCCAGGATTATTGCAAGTGACTAAGTAGAATTACTAAGAATTATCTGTGGAATACAATAGAGTTTTGCATAATATAAAAATAGCTGTGATATCCCACTTCATTCTTTTAATAGACCTATATTAGACACAATGCTACTAATTCTTGAGCGCTGTCAATTTTTGCTGATATTTAAGATACAGATTCATACATACTCAGTTCAGAACTGTGACGCAACAATTCATGCACTGACTTAAATGGATCTGCACAAAGCCAGTTTGGCCTTTTTGTGCAAAGCTGCTGAAGTGAACCTTGAAAAGCTGAAGCAATATACCTGTTTCTTTATTTTGTGCCAGCTTAAGATACGCAAAAGCATTCTCACGTATGGCACATGGATAGCTGCAAACTAAGAGCTACCAAGCAGAAATATTCTTACCTCACAAAATAGCATATCTTTACACACAGCATGGAAGATTTATTTTCTAAAGCATGAAGATAGGTAGAAAACTGTTAAGGAAAACCACATTCATTCGCATATGACACGGAATGTAACATACTTGATGCATCCCAACCTGTAAGCAATAGGAATCATTCTACTGATGGCATATCTTATCAGATTAGGATTTTACACAAGTGCACCAAACTATATCCCAAGATTGTTAGCAAAAGTTTATTAATATCAGTAGTATGAGTAATACTGATGTAGCCACCCAAGTACTTAACACACCAAGTGTTAAGCAGTGAAATGATTCTGCTTTCTACATGTGTTTCCTTGCAACATGCCTCGCAATTTCTATTAAAACGCATGCACTTGCACATGCCACAAAAATTTGAAACAGTAATACCAAATTTATCAATTATTACTTTTATAAAAAAACCCTTTTCAGTTAATTATGATTCACTGGAACTTTTCCAAAAAAGATGCTATTTTCTCTTAAACTTAACCAGTTGTATACAATGGTAGAGAAAAATGTGAAATGCTTCTTGCTAACTCCACCTTTTAACAATGCAACCATTTTGATTTGACTTGCTGTGATAACTGGAAAGAAATACCCATATTTTTAATCTGTTAGCTCTATAAAACATGTTTTAATATTGTAGCCAATAACTTTTGAAGACATGGAAAATCCATTTGGAAAAGGTGTTATGCATATCTTGATTCTTCTGCTGTAGATTACACACATATTTTCAGTACTAAATCCCATAATTTAATGAAAATACCTTGTGGATCTTCCCACAATCTGACTGAAATTAATTGCAGCCCAAATCTACCACAACTGAGGGGCCATACCATCCACAGCTTAAGCACCCATATTAAGTGCTTAAATTAGGCTGACTATAGGGTGAGAGGTCTGAATAAGTTCCCAAGTATTTTGAAGGAACTCAAACTGAATGTCTGAATTTAGATGGCTTACAAATCACCCATTACCATCTAAAAACACTCACATAATTTAGGGAATGGAAAATGGTGAAACTGGGACATTTGCAAGGTTTTTCAAGATACAAGAGCCCAGACTGTCTAAACCATTCAAAACTGTCTTTACCTTTCAACATCTTCACAGGGATCTGTGCACAGAGTCAAAACCCAAGCTTTCAAAACACGCAAGTCTGATAAAAGTTTGAAGTGCTTCTCTGTCTGCATAAAATGTTATTTCTCAACAACATGCAAGCAATTACTTGCTTCCATTTTCAAAGAGCACACGAGCCTAAGTTAACTGCAACACTACACCACAGTTACAGCTTAGCACACTGGATCTAACACTTGTGGATAAAGAAGCAGCAGGACAGTCAGAATCCAACACTACAGTAAAGCTCTGTTGCAAATTATGCTGCTTTTTAAAGCCAGGAGGAGACAAAGTTTGGGGGAAAGAAGGCTTATCTAAAATAAATTGTATCAAAATTGTCTGGAGATTCTTAGCATGTCAGATCTACTTTCTGTTACTGTGCTCATCTAATTAGGAGTAAACATTCCGTAAAACTAAGAAGGCAGGTGATAATACTCCACAACTAAAAATTCCTAAGAAAGGCTAGTATTGCCAATACGATCTGGTAGCTTCACTGTGAAAAATCTAATGAGCCAGAAACACTCATGTGTGAGTCCAGGCAGTCATCGAAAAATCTGAACAAACAGGAGGTAAAACCTTATGATTTATTTCATTGCATTGTACTTTTCAGTGAGTGAAAAATAATATTTTTTGAAAATTTTCATCTCCAGGTGATACAAGCAATTTTCACAAATCACACTTTTATTCTTTGCTTTTCTACTTGTATGGAGAAGAGAGAGAAAGAAATCTGAAACTTAGGCCCAGGTTCACCACCCAACTGAAGTGCCTACATTAATCTAACACCTGCTAGATGTTCCCTCCACAGCCGATGGAGGGTGATTTATCCTACTTAAAATCTAAACTGGAGTTTCATCTTTTTCTCCAGGGATGAGAAGCTAAACCAAACACAAACAAAACCCCTCAACCCTAAACCAAATAAAACCACACTATACAACTGAAAGCTGTAAAGAACAAGTATATTGTTTAAGTAGTGGAACAGTAACACATCCATAGATTAAATATCCTCTACTTACCCATTTCAAAGTTGTCAAGATATCTAATATTACCTTAACAGCAGAGGAATATTACAAAGGATATAGATCAATGAGTTTCTGGAGCATGTCTGCAGAGGAGATGACAAACTGATGCATGGTCAGAACTATCTTTAGCAGCTGGTTGTTTTGATATGCATTTCCTTCTAAATCTGAGGAAAAAAAAAAAGGAGTATTCAAATTGAAATCTTGGTGTACCTTGATAAAAAAATTCCAAGAGGCTTCTTCAGAATACTAATTCTAATCAGGCCTGTTCACCAATGCTATTTCAAAGATAACAGTAATTTACTAACTTAGGAAGTACATCATTTTTCTTATGAGAGCTATAGAAGAACAGCTATATGTCACTACCAGGATTTGGAAGAGACCAATTAAAAAAAAAAAATGTAAAAGACAAGTAAAAAAGCAGCTGTGTCTCAAAAGCACTCAAAGCATCCAGATAATTATACATAATGATCTCAGCAATGCACTTAAATGCTTAGATTTAGGTGAATTTTAGATGAATATAACCTGTGGAACAAATAAATTCAGTTACTGATCTATACAAGTCAGTCAGTGGCATGACTGAATTTATCAAACACAATGGTGATATTCTTAAGTGTGAGGATTTTTGTACAGCTGACATACATAACACTAAAGTACATGCACAGGTTAGGATCTAATGAAACATGATACAACATATGCAGAAGCCCAGAGGTTAACCTGTGCATATTCCCAGTGGTGGATTAAACATTCTAACACATTTTCTTGAACTGTGTGTTGCAAGGATTTCACTTCAAGAAGATTTTTAAACTACACCTATCTTCTGGGTCTTGCAGGTTTGTTTTTTTTTTTTCCCCATACCCAGAACAGACCAAAGGCATCAAATGTAGCAAAGTGTTTAAAAAAGTTTCCATTTCTGAAATAAACACAGTAGTGAAAGTGTTTGTAAATATCAACAGATGATGTTTTTCTAAGGCCTGCCCTGAGAGAACCTAAGTGGCCTGAACTGAAATTGTCACTCTTACAAACACAAAAGTTACCTTTTTGAATAATTTTAAATACACTGTCCTCTATGAGGATAAATTTAGTTATCACTTAAATAGCAACAACAGGGACAAGATACAGAAGCAACGCACAATAAGGCAAAATAGAAGAGGTAGGTGAAACAGGAGATTTGCAGCATCTGAAATGGCATCTATTACTAGAGAAGGCAAATCCCCACATTTTTAAGTTGCACAACACCAAAAAGGAACATTAAACTTACCTCACTTGCAAAACAATATAATCCATGTTAGTCATTGAGCAAGAGTTTCTGTGCCCTTCTACAGGAAGGTTTAAAATGTAGAGGGAACCCCAGAGCTCAGGCCTTTCCATCTGAGCAATACACTGGTTCTTTGGTAGAACTTATAAAGCCAGTTTCCTCTAGATCTGCCTCCCGTTCTTCACTCCACAATAGTCCTATTCATGCCTTTTATCACTATACTCTCCCCTGAAAGTTTTCTCCATCTCTTCCCCACACCAATGCCATATCTCGTCACTCATGCTTAAATCCATCAGCTACACAAAAGGAAGACATGCAGTAGTGGAATCCGGGCTGACTGGCCAGACAAAATAAAATCAAAAAAATGCTGGGCTCACACAGCTGCCTCTATGCCCATGCAGAGACTGATCTGGATGTCTCTATTCTACACAAGCAATTCTTTGCGATTCCTATCTTTCCATGAACTTCAGTTTACACTGGCAGACAGGATGACTCTATTTCATGCAGAGTAGGTGCAGCTTAGTAGGAAGGTGACTCAGAATGACCTAGATCTTCTCAAGTGAAGTTACTGTGTCAGCTGACTGCTTGAAGCCCTGAAAGCAGAGGACGTGCTGGGTATCATATACCTGATGTAGGTAACTTCATTCTTCTAGTAATAGCATAGTCACTTTGCAGGAAACTCAATACAATAAACAGCCTTGAGATACCTTAGTACACCCAGTCTCTCACAGGCAAGACATGCAGAAAAATCCTGATCAGTAAATTCTGTCAGAGCCTATGTAAACATGCAGCAAGCCATTCAGCATTCCCAAGCCCAGAATGAGAACTTCACGCACTAGGGGATCTTCAACACTGAACGTGACAGACACTTTTCTGAATCCACCTTCTCCAGTCATGTTTAAATTGTAAGGAGAAACTCTACCTACAACAATACGGGTGAGGGGAAAGTCTGTCTGTCCTACAGCCCATAAATGAGAGCAGTATAGACCCCAAGCAACTGAAAGTTCTTGAACTGCCTTTTTACTTATACTACAAGTTCTCAGTTTTGTAGCATGAACTGACATTTAAGCATTCCTTGTTGATCTTGTCACACAATTTCATTCATTACCTAGAGAATCCTTCTAGCATGTAAACTGCCCGGTATTACAGCAGGTACACTCAGGTCCAAACAGCAATTTATTCACCCAGAGAAGTGGGAAACTTGCGGAGCAAGGCTGGGGCATCAGAAATCAAAGGCCACTCAGGCATTTAGTATTTGACATTTTGTACTCAACTAGTGTCTTCAGGAAGAGGGAAATTATTTTAGGCCTTGCACACAGAGGCCTGTATCAATTTTCATTCATTTTACAAAACTTGGTGTTCTGCCAGAGCCTCCATCCAACAGCTCTTGTTTAATCAGAAAAGCAATATGCTTAACTTGGAAGCCAAATGGTTATGTGCACACATACTATTAAGTATACACAGCTGTAATTAAATCACCAGCTTTTCAGAAGTACACAACATAGATCATCTCTGGTTGACAAAGACAGCAGATAATTCTCTCTCGTAGAAATCTCTCCTCTGTGTGTATTGCAAAAACCTCTGCCATGACATAACACAGGTACCACTTGGCATCAGGTTCCAAATCGAATTTCTGTCCTCTAGAAGGTCTCTTTTCCATTTTACCAAGATTCAGAGAAAAACAGTATGTTCTGCCTACTATTAGTGATTAGGTCAACACATTTATGGTATTTTCTTGCATAATAAAAGTGTACTTAGGCTTCACAACATCCAGACCCAATTATCTCACAACAGAAACAGATTTCATTATGACGATATGCAATTATTTTGTACTTGTTAAAGCAGTACTACGTTCTGTGCTGTCCATTCTCCTACCCAACAAAAAATCTCATCTCTGCAAAGAAAAATGCTGTATTACAGATTGTTTAAAACCCCAAATAAACACTTCGTGGCAAAAAAAATCTTACGGTTCCCAGTATTGTTCAGCACTGAATAGCAAGGCTGCATGGAACTGTACCAGTAGTCAATTTTTCAAACACATGTAGTATCAAATATTTAATGTCACCTTCCTGCCCAATTTTAAAAGGAAGCGCTTTTCAAGTGTACCATGATACAGCAAATGTTATTGAAAAGAAAATACTGAGTCTAATTCCTCTTCCATTTGTATTTCACAAACTCATAATTCAGAAACAAAAATTCACGGATTTAAGCCAGTAAAAATGGGCCTTAGGTGAGAAAAGACTCCACTCAGTTTCAGTTTCAGAACTATCACTGGGTCTTTCATGTCTCTGACCGTTAGGTCACTTCTTTTCACAGAGCTAACCTGCTAAACATAGTTGTGCATAAAGAGGTAGCAAAAGCTGTGGTAAACTATCTTTGTGCAAATGGGGGAGCCAGTAAGAAAAGGGCTTTCCTTTCTGTGTTGCAAGAGCGTCTCTGAATGCCTCTGCAGCATTCTCTTGAACCTCCAGCATTTTGTTTTAAAACTTTGAGACTCATTTTCATTTCCGTTTGTATACCTGTTTCTAACCACACACCCTGCTGAGCAAAAACCACCAAGTGAATACTAAATAAAGTGGAATGGGTGTGTTTCAGTTAGTCAATTTACCTTAAAGAAAGCTGCAAAATGCTGCATAAGCCTTAGCTTTGCTTCACTGCTCCAAAATACAAATAACTCACTGGTTACATGCTCTTCCTCCTGTAATATCCTTATTCTACTAAGATATGTTAATAAATAGTCTCTGAAACAAACAAGGAAGCAGGAGTTGAATATACTTTTCTAGTATTTAACTACATGACTAAAAGCACAAAGACATTTAGGGCTAATTATTTTATTATCTATGTAGCAAAAAAAAAAAAAAAAAACAAAAACCTACAATTACAGAAGTTCCATTGCATATGAGACTCATATCTGAGACTCAGAGCACACACAAGGGTAATAATATCCTAATCTAGACCCGTAAGCCACTCTACTGCACAATACAATTGGTGGCTCCCTGTAATCAGTGATTTAGAAATAACTGAAGTATCAGCTGTTCCAAGAATAGTTGAAAGACTCAAAGTACTCAAAAGCCAATAAGCAAGGCTTCTAGAGCAAACTATCTGCCAGGTCCTGATGGCTACCAAGCCTGGGGTAAATATACTCAGCAGAAAGAATACATTCAATAGACAAGTTGTTATGCTGAGCCCTTCCCACTCGTGACTGCAATAATAAGGCAACAGGAAGAATGCCAAGGATGTCCTAACTGAATGGCATTTTGCAAGACGGGAAAGTTAACTTCTCTAGGTCTAAGGGGCCTTTATTTCATAAGTATTGCTTTTATTTCATAAGCAGGTTCTAACTATCACCTAGTGCACAATTTGAAATGAATCAGAAGCCAATCACAGAGCACTGACATCACGTGATCAGTGACTAAGCTACTAAGAACATGAATAAATTCTTGTAAACTCCCTTAAGTCTTCCAGTGTTTATCAAAAAGCAGCATCAAAAACAATGCAAAGCAAGAAAGCATAAAAAAATTGCCAGGTGTTCTTATTAAGTGCAAAGCTGGAAGTCACGTATTGCAATATTGATGTGCTACACAGAATTCTTCAAGATTTCTGCAATGTGGTTTTTTTTTCTGGTGGCTTAAAGGAGATGATGTGGGGATGGTATTATAAATGTCTGCAAAGATTATTAAAGCAGCATTTGATTTGAAAACTGGGGGGCCTGATGTTCTTAAGGTCTCAAAGACCTTGATGAAATACACAGACATGTATGAAATATACAGGTACATACATGAGTACCTGCTGGGGTTTAGTGACTGAAGTGAAAGCATCCTAAGTCAATGTTTCTGCCCCACCTACGAGGTGGAGCACTACAAGGTAACATTAGAATGGCTAGAAGCAACCAAAATTGAATGAAGTATT